GCTGGATTGCTGCTAGTGTGTGAAGTAGCCGCTGCTCCCGCACCACAGATACAGTGGCTCAAGAACGGAGAACCTTTCATAGATGTGAGTCAATATCACACGATTTCAGCCTATACATACTTCTATACTGACATAATAAAGCGTAAACCGACGCTACTTTGTGGCGTAGGATGTCAGCTTTTTGTTGATTTTTGAATAATCATTTCTTTAAAAAGCCTTACACTTACGACATGCTTTAGGCTATATATTTTCACGCGATAAAACTTAGGGGGTAAATAAATTGGAAAAAACCTACATGTGGGAAAGAGACTATAAACTACAAAGTGCCAACATTAAGGAAGCAAGGTTGCTGGTTACAGTAATTGTCATCCAATGACATCAGCCTTCGTTGTCATTTGATTTTTTCAATTAAAAAAACAAAGTTTTTATTATTCTACGCGGATGAAGTCGCATAGGAACAATAGTAATAAGAAGCCTATGTGTTCCAGATTATCCTCCACATTACAAATTTCATCAAAATCGATTCAGCAGTTAGATTACAAACTCTATCAAACATCTAAACTTTCGCTTATATAATACGAGCTGTTGCCCGCAACTTCGTCCGCGTGGTATTAGAAAACATACGAACTATATAAATAACAAAAAGCTACGTATCCCTCACCCGGAACCGGGCACCACGGGGATGAAGCTTATCCCATGTATACTTCAGACTTTGTTTTATATCTGTGCCAAATTTCAATAAGATATGTTGAACCGTTGCAGAATGATCGAGTAAACATTAAAAAACTGAATTAATAAATCCCACGGGAACCGTAACTTATCCCGGGATAAAAAGTAGCCTATGTGTTCTTCCAGACTATGCTCTAAACCTGTGCCAAATTTCATGGAGATCCGTTTTTCCGTTTAGGGTACAAACGCTAACAAACATCCATCCATCTAAACTTTCGCATTTATAATATTAGTAAGATTAGATAAATGAATTCCAGTATGAAGAGGAAGCGAACGAGATCCCGACTGTGTCTAGCAACGTGGCTCGCCTGGTCAGCAAGCTAGTAGTGTCGGCGGCGCGCGACGGAGACGTCTTCACATGCGACGCCAACAACGGCCTCAAGGAGGTCACCGCCTCCACCACTGTTTATACTGAAAGTAAGTTATAGCGACATCTATCGATCAGTGCGTGTAATTTTACATAACCTTTAATATAGAAATGGTTTTTTTAATCTACTCAATACTAATAGATGTGTTTTATTTTGAATTAAATAATAAGGATGAGATTTTTCACATTAATTAATTTAGTTTTATAATAAAAAAGTGTTAACGATCTTGGTACTGACAATATTTGTATCAAAGATTTAAATTGACAAATTTGCTATTAATTTTTGACAGGCGCTTTTATTTCACACTAATTGTTGCTCGCGGAAATCTGCGTGGAAATAAAAGATAGTATACTTTTTAACGGGAAAAGATATTTTGAGATTTATTCAGTAGTTTATGATAAATCTAAATATTTGTTTTTTTTTTTAAATATTAGTAAAGATATAGTTTCTTTTGCGTTATTTTACAAAAAAAAAGCCATCGTTACTTTGTTAATTTAATTTTTTCATTTACCTTTCCAGATGAACTTTCCCCTCAACTGTTATTGGGTAAACTATTCCCACTACCATCGAAGCCTGTGATAACGCTGCACTACGAGGAGATCA